CCCCCTCTCTCTCTCTCTCTCCCGCTGGAAAGATCGAAAACTCACGAACTCTTCGTTCCCACTTTAATCTTTCAAACTGTTTGGTAATAATCTGCGATTACAGTGCATTACCATTCGATAGATCCAATCCAAACATTACAAATGAAAAAAACACACAAAACCATCATTCATGATCCATAGACATCTACGTTTAACACTACAGAGCAAAAGATTCTTCCAACAACAGCAATAACAGCGTAATAATAATCCATTGGTACTGACAGGCAAAACTAAAGAGACAGAGCTGTAGCCTAATCCTAAAGCATTTGAGAGAAAGAGAGACCGGATAAATCAGCCTTCGTAGTCTCCCTGTGCATATTTGTTCTCTGGGTAATACACAGCCACCACTTGGTTTCCTCCAAATTTCCGACCGTTCATTCCGGCCCGGGCCTTAGACGCACCATCCGTGTCCGCATACTCCAAGAACACCTGCCATATCAAAATCGTCACGTTGTAAGACGAGAAATGATCAGTAAAATCCTTATAAAACTCAGGATCGCCAGACTGGTAAAAAAGCTTTTTACCTTTCCTACTCCTGGGGTCGGTTCAGCGTTTGGATTAGGGCGTGGAATCACCACATTCACCAAGTTGCCTGCTCGAAAAACAGACTCACTTCAGATGTTATAAATGATTCTTAATGGCAAGGGTGGGAGGAACAAACCGATGAATGCTTTTACTCTCTAAATACAGGCCATAAACTTGTAGAATTTGTAATAAAGGGGAATCATCGGGGTTACTAGGTAAAATGCTTACCGAATTTTCCACCTTCTTGTCTCATGTCCTCCATTATATCTTCATATTCTTCGTCATCTTTGAGATCATCAGCTGTAACCACTTCAGTCAAGCAGACTATTTTTGTGGGCAACCCACCTGGTTGAAGCATAAGCCTCTGCCATGAAATGACACAACACACTTTTAATTCAGTAAAACTGATATATATACAGACATTCTCAGAAAACACAAGCAAGCAAACAAACAAACAAAAAAAGATTTTTCATATAACCTGAAGAGCAATCTGCTGCTGGGCATGAAGTAGGATGTCTTCCTGTTCAGGTTTAGGCTGAATAGAACCCTGGGTTGCACGCCTGACTGTAAGAGTCTTATCACCCATCTTAATCCCGTTAAGAGCAGCACACGCGATATCTGTAACTGAAGGATCTTGGTACACGCAGAATGCATATCCCTTTGAGTTTCCTGTTTCCCTGTCTTTCACGAGGTTGAAACCTCTGAGCGGTCCAAATGATTCCAACAGCTCTCTGATTTGTGCCTCTGTGAAATAGTAAGGGAGACCACCCACAAAAATACGGTCTGGACCCTCGAGCCCCCCAGTGGAACCAGGGGCCAACCCCACAGCAGCCAAGTTGAGATTGGGATTAGGTTGGCTCGGACCAAGAGTTGCAGCAAGGGACGGGTTATAGTCCGTTGGCCTCCTAACTTTTACAGGTACCCCCTGAGAATGCAGAAAATTAGGATGTTGGTACCGTTGATACTATCAGAATATTAAATGAGATGACGGATAGATTCCAAGAGTGCTTATTAATCCCCATTCTGGACTGATAAAGATTATATAAGAAACTGCTTTGGTTTAACTGATACAGAAGCGAGGGAATGAATTACCTCAAATATGATTCCATCTAATGCCATTGCATTACTGGCTTCCTCGACAGATCTCATTTCTACAAAAGCAAACTTCTTTTCATGGTTTATATACACGTTGACGACAGCATCGCCTACAAATGAGTAACCAGAGGGTAAGTTCTCCATCATACTGGAAACATTGGTCTATTCTTAAACAAAAATTTCCATAGACCTGGTCCAGCAGTATTTCCTCCAATAGCCGACATCACTTGGCTAAAGAAGGTTGCAACCGACTGAAAAGAAGAGACCCACATCAGTGGTCATAAAATTTGTTAATGCTGAAGTCACAAAGGAAATAGATATAAAAGCAGAGATAATAAGTTACCAACCTGTTCATTAGCAGTGGGAGGAAGGCCCCCAACATAGACTCGCCGAGCATGCCTGGTGGCCTGCTGCCAGAAAAAATAAATAATTGTAGGAATGAAATCTCAACAGAGGAAAAAGTGTTATAGATAAGTGAAGAAACAGCTCAAAAACACCGACCTGTTGCGTCATTGCCTGAACTGGCATAACAGGAAGAGCTCCCAATTGCTGAGTGATAAAACCAAAAAGGAAACGTCTATGAAAATGCCCATGCAAAAGACCTGGGGGAAGAGAGATTCCCATGTTTATACAAATAAAGAGACAGGAAAATGAACACATATGTACCTGACCAGGGACCATAGGGAACATGTTGGGGAACATCCCTGGGATGGCAGTATTTGTTGTCCCAGGAACCTGACCTGCTAGAAGAAATAGGTTCGCATCTTAGACTGTTAATCAGAAAATAAATTGTTCCGGAGTAGTGACCTACCAAAAATACAGATAACACCTTGCTATCTACAAAATCAACCAGTAGCCAATATCCCAGCATCTTACAAATACTGAGGAAAAAAAAGAATCAGCATATCCATGTTCTCTGGCCAAAATTTGCAAGACTAGATTACAGGCAATAGTTGCCAGTCGAAGATGAAGAATACCCATCAAAACCGTTGCACTGTTCCTCCTTGTACAATTAAAGCTAGAGAGGTCGGCTCAAGCTCATTGTCAGCACAGTGGGGCAACTACCCCAACATTGCCTTCTTACTACAAAAGATGACATAGAAACAAACACACAACACCAACAGAAGACAAACAAAAAAACCTCTCAGTTCTGGTACCACTTCACCAAGCAAACAAAAATAGTAATATGTCCTATCAAAAGGGTGTAATTTTATATGCTTCTGAGCACAAGGAAACGGTAAAAATGCAGCTTACCAAAGTCACACCGTGTAACTGATTACGATCTTTCCAAACTACGTAAACCAAAAACAACAAGCAGTTAAGATATATAAGAACGCTAAGGAGATGAAGAAACATATACCTGCTGCAGCAACAACAGTGGCAGCTAACATTGCAGAGGCAGGTGGTGCCATATCAAATCCGCTTACCCTCTTGCTGCAAGGGCCAGATTCAGAGGTTACACATATGATAAGATAAACAAGACCAAATGAACACAGACATAAACTACAAAAATCTTTTGTGTTGTCTAACCATACATTTCCCATGTGGTAATGTACCAAAAGCACCTAGGACATCGACAAAGCTACAAAAAGAAGACTATACCCTGAAGACTCAAAATGATAATTTCCACGCTGAATGGCTGATAAGTGATAACAAACAAAAAATTGGACAATAGTCAATAGATCCTTCCCCAATTGAAATGGAAAATAACCTAACACTAAAAAATTGTATCACTCTTCAAGGACAAAAACATCATAGGAACTTTAGTATAAGGGTTTCATTGATCTCATATAGCAAGGCATCACAATGACCAATATAAACATATGAAACTAAAAAAAATAGCAAAGAAATAGATTACCTCTTAGAACGTGAACGTGAACGGGACCGGGAATGTGACCGTGATCTATGTTCAGACCTAGACCTACGTTCTGAATGACCCCGTGACCGTGATCTATGTCGCCTGTGTCTGTCCTCTCTGTCTTGATCGTAATCCCTCCTCCTATAAGTAACAACAATACATTACCGCATCATCAATTTAAGAATAAGAAAACAAAAGGCTGAGCAAATGATCTATATTCTTTACTGTGTCCGTACCTGTCACGGTCCCGGCTTCGGTGATAATCATCATCATCATCACCACCATCCCTCTCACGTTCCCTTTTCTCACTATGTCCCCTGCTACGGTCTCTATGTCTGTGATGACGGTCTCGGTCCCTGTCCCTACTTCTCTCCCTATCTTCATCCCTGCTTCTCTCTCTATCCCCGTCCTTGCTTCTCTCCCTGTCTCTGTCCTTCTCGCGGTGACGATCGCGTTCCTTATCTTTATCCTTATCACGTCCCCTTTCACTGTCTCTTTCCTTGCTTCTTGAAGATTCTTTTTCAACATCATGGGACTCATGCTGCAAAAAAAATATATGAAACCGCGGACAAGAATCAATCACAGAGCTAAACCGATAAATTAAGGCATGAATACCACAATCAACTCTCATTCCTCGCTCAACCAGCCAAAAAAAAGGCAAACCCCACCAAAGCAGGAAAAAAACAGATCGCTTGTACATACCCGAGATTTAGAGTCACCATGATCGTTTTCACCGCCACGAGAATGAGGAGAAGCCCCATCTACGGCATAGTGGTTGTCGTTACTGTTGTGGTTATCGATGGCGGTGGCAACGCCGCCTCCTCCGTTACCTTCGTAGCTCATAATCGCTTCAGAGTCTGCCTTCTTGGTCGAATTACTTCTCCAGCGTAACTCGTCTCTCACTGCGCAGTTGGTGGGGGAGAGAACATGAAAAAAAACCCTAGCTCGAGTGGATTAATGGAGCGTGAAGATTCTTCTAGGAGGAAGGTGAAGGGGTATTTCAGTAATTTCGTCTGCTTCGATCCACAAAAACGTATTGGGCCTAAATATGGGCCTCCAATTTTTTTTATCAAAACAAGCCCGATATAAAGTAATGAAGCCCAATGAAATTACTTGATCTACTGCAAGAAGCCCACCGGGCTATGATATTTTTTTTTGCATTTTGGTTATTGTTTTTTTCAAGAAAAATCCAGTATATCAAATCAATTAATAATGTAACGAAGAACATCCTTTCATATGTAGATGTGCTGTATTCCAATAAAAAAAAAATAGTAGATATGTACGCCACGTACGATAAGAGTCCGACATGGATACCAATAAATATTACGGATGTACCCGTATCCTTTGATTACAGTCAAAGTAGGCTAAACCGGATAAATTTTTCTCCGATTTTACGATCGTACCAAAACCGGAAATTGAAATCAATCCAAACATTGAACGTCAAACGGCCTCACTTACATACAACAAACCTTTTAATTAGATGGGTGATCAAACGGCCTCGACGAATGGCTGGCAGATTCCTACGGCGTGGCCGGAAGAGGCATTATTAATCTAACGTGCTTTGCTATCGCACCCGCATCCTGGAAGTTCAGGTACGCCAAATCAATTCTATTGATCAAGTACTTACTCTGATCCACTACTACTTTCGTTCTCCACGAAAAAATATGGTCTATTTTATTCCCACCATCTCCTAGTGTGGCATGGAGTAAACCTGTCTGGTTCTCCAATGTTGTTCCTAAACACTCATTTCTTATATGGTTAGTAGTGAAGAATAGGCTGTCTTCCCGTGATAGATTGGTAACTTGGGGCATAAACACTCGTAGTTTATGTGTACTATGTGGTGAGGAGGATGAAATGCTAAACCACATTTTCTTCAATTGTTCTTATTCCACTCTGCTACAAGGATGTCAAAATGAGCCGAGCTCGTGAGCCAGCTCGAGGTTGGCTCCTTTTTTATCAAGCCGAGTCAAGAATATTTGAACCCAAATAAAAATGCGTCAGCTCACCATGAGCCGAGCCCAAACGAGCTAGTTCGGTCGGCTCGCGAACTGGAGTAAAATAAAATATTTCTTACGTTGAAACTTAAAAGTATTGATATTGTTTAGTATGATATTTTGATTTGGAGATAAATTTTTTATATATAGATTCAGATTTGAAGATGGTTTTTTGTAAATGGATTAAGATGTGATTGGATATGGATGGATTATGATCTGATTGTACATGGATGGATTAAGATCTGAAAATGATTTTTTGTATATGGATGGATTGTGATTTGATCTACCTGAAGATAATTTTTTGTATATGGATTTTTATGTTGATGTATCGATATGATTTTATATAATTTGATATGATTTTTTTAGATATTTAGAAAAATATGAGCCGGTTCGGGAACCGGCTCGCGAGCTAAGCGACTTGGGTTGAGTCATGAATTTTCTGGCCCAAATAAAAATGGGCTTAACGAGTTGAGCTGAAAATGAGCTGGCTCGAAATGAGTTGGTCCGAGCTGGCTCGTTTGACATCCCTACTCTGCCATGGCCGACGGTTTTACACAACTCTCCACTAGCTACATCAACATGCAACACATTCAATGGAGCATTTGGATTGGCTGGATACCTGCACATGCAACACTCTGCTTTGGTTCATGACTTTGCTTCTTTTCCAAGCCACGGTCTATATGATTTGGCTTGAAAGGAATGCTAGAATACATGGATCACCACATCGATCTGCTGACATCATTCGCAAAGACATCCTCCGATACACTAGGCGTACTTACCATCTGGTTCTGCTACTTTGATCCACTGTAATTGCATTACATCCTTTTGACTTTGCTCTACTCATGATGTAACAAACTCTTGTATTATGTACATGGACAGTATAAATATATACGACTTTACCGGAAAAAAAAAATATTTCATTTTTTAACACATGGCTCGATATGCGGTTGGATAATCGACAATTGAGTATGTGAATAATGTAAGTTATTCAACATAGATATTTTTTTTATGACGGAGAGAATCATCACGATCTTTCGAGTGCGAAGTAAATCCAAAAATCTCACATAATAGTCTGTAAACCACATCAAATAAACAAACCAGTTAAAACTGACAGATTAAAAAAACCTCGTAATCTAAAGTATATAACCCATAACTTCCAACTAAACGATAAGGTTCTCAACCGAGTTGTAGACTTTCTCTAATATGATTATAAAAGTGTTGCTTGTATCTATTAAAAATTATAAAATTGTCTTTAATATATATAAGTATCATTGATGTGTTTTGAATTTATAAATATAAATATTTTTTATAAAATTCGTGTAGTGTCTTTTTTTTTCCGGCATCCAAAATCACGAATAGGAAGTCGGGTGGAGTGATAGATACTTTGGAAGGGATGGTACGGCAGGAGGCCGACAAGTCACAGCCCCACTTCGCTGTCATTCATTCATGCGTTTCGTGATCGTGACTCCCATTTCACATGCCCGCCTTGATTCTCAATTTCTATTAAAATATCGCTGCAATAGTAATTGTATTGGATTCTGAATCGTCAAAAACTTTGTGTTTGATTTTTTTTTTTCATTGTCTTTATAATATGCAAATAATACAAAAATATTATCTATATTGATTTATATAAGTATACATTAAAAAACCATATAAGTTTCCCTTAACCAATACCAAGGAAAATGCAATGATATAATTATTGAAAAAATCAATAAGCAAACAACAAAATATTATTACAAATAATTAACGAATATGTGAGCTGTTAATGAGATTGAAAAAGCGATTAATCTCAATCATATGATATAACCAAATAATAATAATTAATGGGTTGTTGGTTCTATGATATTGCTGTTGACTTTCTTTTCAATGTCGAACGTAAAACTGAGAGAGAGAGAGAGAGAGAGAGAGAGAGAGAGAGAGAGAGAGAGGGAAATATCCAATGGAAAAGGGTCATTGGTTCATTTAATTCAATGAAAGTTTTGCATATCATATATTATATATCATCAATTTAATATATGATTATGTTTCAAATATTGGTTTTTATTTAATGATTTTCTGTTAAAAATATATCATTTTCTTTACCATATGTGTGTGTATGAAACAGAAAACACCAAATGATCATAAAATGTTGTTAAACCAAAATCTATGGGATGCTAATGAAAACATATATCAAGTCAATATATATACACACATGCTCATATTGAATATATATATATATATATATATATGTATTGTTTAAGTGGATGCTTTGGGACGTACCAAGAATTAAAATATTTCAGATTGTTTAACTGATTATTGTATCATTGTATGCATCAACGAATGTCTTTTTTTTTTTTGATAATCCGAAAGTTCACCGAATCTTTTTGGTCCGACTATATCTCCCAAAAAACCGGGGAAGTCTAGGTGAATGCCCCTCTCCACGCTTGGATTTGAATCCAGGTGAGAACATGTTTTGCATGTTCTATCACTACTAGGTCACCCAAGCTTGGATAACGAATGTCTTCTTTCTATAGAATATAAACTCGCAAATAAAAATATATTAAAATAAAGTAGAAAGCAAATATATTCAACGGGGGAAAAAATACCAAATTCCTTACTGTTTTCCATTCGGAATATCTAACACTTTTTTTTTAAACAGACAATTTATCTTATGCCAATTGAAATATCATAACTATGAACATAAATTTCAATTCCAGTATACAATATCAAATTGAGATCGAATAACATTAATTTAATTATTTTAATCTCCAGTTCAATTTTAAAAATAATAAAATCCGAATATAATTCAAATAAAAAATGGAGGATATTTATAAAAAAAAATCGTAGGTTTCTAAATTTTTATTTAAAAGCAAAATTATGGTCCATTTGCATCTCCACCACTATTAATCTGGCAACACATGTTAAGTGATCCTAGTACATATTCTAAAAAAAATTGACTTATGCATCAAAATTATATTACTTAAATTATTATATTTTAACAAAAAATCGAATATACTTAGCTTAAAGTATGATTTGCATGCAAAAAATGAAAGGAATTGCATCTAATTCCGTAGAATTACAGATAAGCTTTAAAATTGCATGCTCCTTTAATTAAAGAACGTTGCAATTAAAAAAAAAAAAGATGCTGTGCCTAGAAGATGACAACGACAGTCAAATTGATGGAACTCTTCTGGTTTTAATTTTAAATATATCGATATTTTTTAAATATTTTAAAAAATAAAAGGTTAGTTGGACATCTTTGATTGATTATAATTTCTCGTTTTGCGTCTCGAGTTTCGATTATAGTTTGGTAGATTTGGGTATTTTATCGTGTTTTAATTCTATTATTATTTTTTATTCGGGTTTGTAATAAATATTTTATTTTCATTATAATTTCCCCTACTTAAATTATGTGGAGGCCATAAGTACATAACACGCTAGAATATTCTATTTTGACATTTATGTATTTATATAACCATAAAAAGCAATATTCTTTTTTTTTTATTTTGTTCCAAATTAAAAGCACTAATAAAGATTTTCAGACAAAAAACGACCGTTGGGAATTTTACCGCGCTTGCTTTTCGTCTTTTTTTTAGTGTGAAATGAACAAATCCCAAAACTGATCTTCAGAAAAAAAAAATAGAATATATATATAAAAAAAAACAGATCGGAAATTCGGAGAGAAAAGAAAGATATCTGAAAGGGAACTTCGTGCATGGGCAACAACGACACAAGAAGAATCTCCCTGCAACAAAAGCTGTCTTCGTCATTGTCCCACTTCTAATTTCAGGTTTTCCTCGATCTAGGGTTCTTCTTCTGCGCATTCTTCCCTCCGTCTTCTGCTTTTTCCAGTTCATCCGAGATTTTGAAGTCCCTAAGCAGATTCCAAGTGGTGGGTACTCCTCGAATCCCCGTATTTCTCGGATTAGTTTCGATTTGATTTGGATTTCTGTCCCCAGCATCGATCGAATTGTATCTGCTGTTTATACAGAGAGTAGAACATGAGATTCCTTTGCCAGATATTAAGTTTTCCTTCCGTTTCTTCGGCGTTGTTTGCATGTATACCCAAGTTGGATAGAAGCCTTTCACTAGCAAATTTGATTAGTCTGATTTCTATCTGTTCGAAGAAATGCTGCTTTGAAAATTTGTAGAGTGGCTTTCTTCAGGATTGAGCAACTGATGATCACTTCATTTCTGGGCAGAGTGGATGAGGTTTTAGTTGCCCAGAGAAACGTGGAGATCCATTGTTAGATCACTTGTTAATGTCTATCTAATCCTCGAACCCAACTTTAGCTAATCTCTCTTAGAGAAAATGCGATTCATTGTGATGGACAAATGATGGAGATTCCAGGAAAATTAGCCATTTGCTGGTTTTATGCTCAAAGGAACAACAATAAGCAACGGGTTTGGATTTATTTATTTATTTTTGAATACGAGACATACTAGATAATACTTTTACATCCATTTGGAGTTCTGAATGCAATACTTTTACCTCCATCAGCTTATGCATTACTGTATATATCTTGTGTTCAGAGAAATGGTTAAACCGGGCAATGCATCGCAGATAAGGCCGATGAAAACTGTATAGAAAGTCACATTACTTTCTGGATTGTGGTCGAGATGGAGACAAGAAGGTACGTGTTCTTGTCAATGGATCTTCTTGCAGTGCACTTCCCTTTCCCATTTTCTTACATGCGATTAACAAACTATGAACTCTGCTGGTTTTAAAGTGTACTTTTAAACTTTTGCTCAGGTCTGGAGAGAAAGAATTCCCGAATGGCGATTCCTATACCGGAGAATTGAAAGGAGAACTTCCTCACGGGAGGGGAAAATACTCGTGGTCAGATGGAACTTTCTACGAGGGTGATTGGGAAGAAGGAAAAATCTCTGGGAAAGGAAAGCTTAAATGGTCGTACGGGGCAGAATATGAGGGAGATTTCTCTGGAGGATACCTTCACGGTTTTGGGACCTTAACTTCTCCTGATGGGTCAGTCTATAATGGAGCCTGGAGAATGAATGTAAGGCATGGTTTAGGAAGGAAGGAGTATTCTAACTCGGATATATACGACGGTTCTTGGAAAGAAGGATTGCAAGAAGGAAGTGGTAGTTATTCTTGGAACAATGGGAACAGGTATATAGGGAATTGGAAGAAGGGTAAGATGTATGGGAGAGGGGTCATGAGGTGGGAAAATGGCGATCTTTTCGACGGGTTTTGGGTTAACGGGTCCAGGCATGGCTCGGGGGTTTACAGATTTTCGGACGGAGGTCTCTATTTCGGGACATGGACTCACGGTCTGAAGGATGGGAAAGGAACCTTTTATCCTGCAGGAATTAAGCATCCTTCTCTGAAGAAGTGTTGTCACTCTCTTGAGTACAACGACACCAGGAATTTCCTCCTTTCTCGAAGTTCGTCGATAAATCTCGAGGAAGTAAGGCATTCGAGAACCATCACGCGAAGTCTTTCTGAGAAAATACCGACAAGTGTAACGATTAGGAATTCGGGTAGAATATCAGATAGGTTTCTTCCGGATGAGAATAAAAATCCTGTTGTTTATGAGAGGGAATACATGCAAGGAGTTCTGATTAGAGAACGCGTCTTGAGTTGTGGCGACATGTCTCATAAGACGAAGCCTCCGAGCCGCCCGAAAGAAGTCGGGACTAGCACTTGTATCAACCTTTTCGGGGGCAGACAAAGTTACTATCTAATGCTTAATCTCCAACTTGGTATCAGGTAAACAAGATCGATACCTTAACTCGTTTATCTTTTATGGAAGCCCGGAATAATATGTCGAGAAAATTTTAACACATTATTTCTACAATTTCTGCACAAAAGAAAAGGAGAGAATCTGTATATAAATGTGTTCTGACAGCTTATGCATACTTCTATAATCTTACAAGACAAATCTTTTCAAGCTCACAGGTACACTGTCGGGAAAATCACGCCTGTTCCAAGACGGGAAGTCCGTGCTTCCGACTTTGGAAATAAAGCAAGAATCAGAATGTTCTTCCCTAGGGAAGGTTCTCAGTTTACACCACCGCACAAATCTATCGATTTCTACTGGAAAGACTATTGTCCAATGGTTTTCAGGTAAACCGATTTTCCTTTTCGCCAAATAATGCAGACTAACTTAGAATCCGAGTGGAGAATAGCATATAAACCAGGTAATATAGTCATGTAAATTCGGTAGAGAAGTGACATTTCTTGCATACTTATGTTCATATGGTCTGTTGCTTTCGGCATTATATTAGCCGATACATGAACTCAAATCCACGGTTATCTGTTCTGTAATGCGAATGTTTCAGGAATTTGAGGGAGATGTTCAAGTTAGATGCTGCAGAGTACATGATGTCTATTTGTGGTGATGATGGCTTGAGGGAAATTTCTTCTCCAGGCAAAAGTGGAAGTCTCTTCTATCTTTCTCATGATGACAGATTTGTCGTGAAGACATTGAAGAAATCCGAACTGAAAGTCTGAAACTCTATCTGATCTACGTATTTTTCGTATACGGATATACGTATTTTTTGCAGTATATTTCATGTTTATAATTATCACCGTTAAACGAATACGATCTTTCGGGTTTACAGGTTCTACTCAAGATGCTGCCTAAGTACTATGATCATGTAGGGACGGTTTTTATGTAGTTGTAACTGGTGGCTGAAAAATCTTTCTCGATGTCACTCTTGATCCTTTTCCTTTAAATTATTGCAGCTTAAACATAACCCACCACTATTACTTTAGTCAGTTCCTGTAATTGACATCTAAGTATGTGGTCAGTGGGTTTTCCGACATTTGACGTGCAAGCTTTTTCTTTTTCAGGTCAGAAAACAGAAAACCCTCTACTTTTCCTTGGGCAGTACAGTGACGATGAGCCGAAAATATCGGTTAAGAGAGATAATGCTGCTGCTGTGGATAGTTCATTAGCCCATAACAAGGAGCAGGTAATGAATGGTATTTAATTTTTGAAAAAACCGTGTCCTGGTAATGATTGTAATTTTTTATCTATCGGCTATTATCTTGGTCTTGTTGGTATCAGTTTGTCGTAATTATGGGTAGGGAAATATGAAAACACACTTATAACAAAATTCTTTGGAGTTCACAGGATCAAACTCAAGTGGGGCAAGAAGGTATGAAACATTTTACTTGGTTTCTTTTTTTTAATGATTGATTTTCCATTTTCCATTGTTGGTTTTCTAGAATATAAAAAGATCTTGTGAATTCTCTTATAGGTAAGGTTCGTGGTCATGGGGAACATGTTCTGTACAGAACTGAAGATTCATCGTCGTTACGATCTTAAGGGCTCATCTCAAGGGAGATTCACTGACAAGAACAAGATAGAGGAGAAGACAACCTTAAAGGATCTTGATCTTGCCTATGAATTTCACATGGACAAGCTCCTAAGAGAGGCACTCTTCAAGTGAGAATCTTGATCTTCAAAGCGCATTTTTTTACATCGTTTGCGCATTTTTTGCGATATATATTTTCGGGTTATTGTTTTTTTTTTGCAGGCAAATCGATCTGGATTGCTCGTTCTTGGAATCGCTGCAAATCATAGATTACAGCCTTCTGTTGGGATTGCATTTCAGAGCACCCGAGCATCTCGATAATATCCTCGAGCCTCCTAACTCGATGTCGGATCAAGATAGTGTCGCTTCGGTGGAAGGTAAAGTTCGTCGGGATTGGGAAAAATGACAAAAGAGAAAGGATCCACCATCTTCTTCTTCTTGTTTTTAAATTTTAATACATGTTCTCGGTTTGTGTTTTTCTTCAGCTGGTTTGTCTCAGGAACTGTCCATTCCTCCGAAAGGATTGCTTCTGGTAAGACATGAGCCGAGTTCAGTGAATACGGAGCCTGGTCCACACATAAGAGGAAGTGCACTAAGAGCATTCTCTGTCGGAGAGAAAGAAGTTGATCTTATCTTGCCTGGTATCACAAGGTAACTTCCTTCTCAACTCCAAGATTTTGATGATTCTGTTACATGTGGGCATGAGTCGAGTTAACTATCCGAGTTTTTCGGTGTATCCGATCTTGCTTCGGCTTTCCTCAAATTTTTCGGTTGGACTATCCGATATTTGACCTCGTAAGGGTCGTTCCCATCCTACGAAGGGGGCAAGGTGAGCGACATGAGGAGACTTGGCCCCATGAGAGAGAGGGGTGGGGGTAAGGCAAGCAGCATGAAGAGGTGAAGGGGGCCTCTGACGAGGCCGAGAAGAGAGAGATAAGAGGGCGATGAAAGACTTAAACAATGTCTGAGGAGCGACGACGGGGAAGACGACCCTCATCTCTCATCACTTTTTCTCGACGAACAGTCTCTCGTTAAAAGTTAAAACTGTAACTCATCGCCCTCGTCACGTCATCTGCCCTCATCACCCCCTTCATGCCCTCCCATCCTCTCCCCTTTTAACTACTCGAAATCTCGAGTGTCAATGTCCACCCATGGATTCAGTGAGATCTTGTCCCAATACGTCACGTGCTCTTTCGTACATGGAATAAGGTTGTGTGTTTCTGGTCAGGCTGCGAGTACAGCTAGGAGTGAACATGCCGGCTCAAGCTCACCACAAGGTGCTCCAGGAGGAAGAAGAGAAGACGACGAGCATCGAGCTGTTCGAGGTATACGACGTCGTTCTCTACATGGGAATCATCGATATCCTTCAAGAATACAACATGAGGAAGAAAGTGGAGCATACCTGCAAATCCCTCCACTACGATCCCTCCTCCATTTCTGTCATCCAACCCAAGCTCTACTCCCAGCGTTTCACACGTTTCCTCCGCAAGGTCTTCCCACCACAGTCATCTTAATACTTAAACTTTCTGTCATTTTGTTACAAGAATCTAAATACTACATTGTATTATTATTACAAAGAAGACACCCGTAATACAGAAAAGTATATGTTCTCCAAACATCATTTTTAAATATAATCATACAAAGAAAAAAATCTCATTTGGAGCCAAGGGCAAAGGATAATTTGGGACGAGATTTGTTCTTACCCAACAGTTTCATCTGTTTAAGTCGTTCTTCTTCCTCTTCCGCTTTCTTCCGTCTCATCGCCTCTTCTTTCTGCCGTTGAAGCTCTTCTAGCTCCCGATAACGCTCCTCCTCTTTACTCTGCCTCTCCATTGCTTCTTCTCTCTCGGCTTCTTCTACTTTCCTCCTGTTCTCTTCCACCGTTTTCTCTAGTTCCTCTCTTTCTCTCCTTTCTCGTTCCTGCATTATATTAACAATGCCCCAATCAAAAACCCTCAAACAGCATTCTGTAACAAGATTTATACACTAGAAACTGAGCAAAATTATGTAAAAAAGAAGATTATCAATTATGACAAGATCCAGCACTCAATTCACATTTGACACTTAATCAATTGTTTCGTATGGTACAACGTATAATCAGTGATCTACAATGGCTAAAGAACATATTGAAATGGATTATAATGTTGAATCAACGTTCTTTTTTTTGCAGCACTCAGGTTTTAAGGACTTAACTCGTTTATGAAAATTCTCTTGAGGAAACACTTACCTCCCTTTCTCTTGCTTCAATAAGAGCAGCTTCCTTTTCTCTCTCAAGTTGAGCAGCGACTTTTTCATGAAGTCTTCTCCGTCCTTCCTCCAACTGCCTTTGAATTTTCAATTTAATTTCCTCAGACTGTAAGCTTTCCTCGACCTTTTTTCTAATAGCTTCCTCCACCCTTTTTGCAGTTTCTTCTTCTATTAGCTTCCGTTCTGCTTCCAGCTGCCGCCTGAGATGCAAACCCAGCAGAAAAAGTTAGAAGAGGAGCCCTTTGTAGATTGAAAACCTAAATGTCACCTGAACCTTGCCATTTCTTGATATCTTCAACCCTGAAGAGCAACAGAGCCGGAAAATAATTCCAAGTCCCAGAAAACAGTTTTGAGGATACATCCATATATGTCTAGAGGTGGGTTAAAGAAAGCATAGATAGCAACATTGGAATCTTTTCAGATTTCCATAGCACTGACAAAGCAGAAAAGAGAATAAAACTTTCAGTAAATAAGAGAGATTAGACTAATAGCATTCAGAATAATGAGGATAATAAGATAAAGAAAACTAACTACTTTAGAACTTCAAGTTTAAATGTATGACAGTATGAGGAGCTGGTATGATTAAATAGATCTGCCGCACATGCTCGCCATGATAAAGACAATTCATAAATGGTGAACTGCAAAATGCAATTTCATATATCTCAGGTGAAAAGGGAGCTCAAGTTCAGATGTCCTTATTGTACATGAAAAGTATGTTACTGCAAACAACTGGAAATGAAAACAAACAATTGTAGTGCCAACGTAAAAAAACCACAGTTAAATCACAAGAAATCTTCAATTCAAAATAATTTAATGAAAAGCAGTACATCTGCGGAATTGGGCAGGAACGGAATATCCATTTAAAATTCAGATACTAACAGAAAAGTAGTATATATGATCAAAGTGGTTGAAAGCAGGAAGAAACTCTAAATAGGGAACACATATTGTAAATTTTTAAAAAAAAATACCTTTTTCTCTCTTCTTCTTCTTCTCTTCTAAGCTTCTCTCCTGTGTTCCTACATAGTGCAGCTCCAAGACTTGGAGTTGAAGATCTATGGTCAGGAGATAGAGAAGAACTCCTACTCCTTTTTCTTTTGTAACGTTTCAGAGTTGGGGAACGACGCCTAGGAGTAAGAGATCGACTCCTATGGCGACTAGGAGAAATAGAACGACTTTTTCGCCTGTACATTCACAATAAAAGAAAAGAAAAGGCAGTAAGCAAAAGCCCAAGACGTAGGAACTACCGACCACATAAAAACTAGGCATCAGGTAGTAGCCCACACCGTTTCACATAATAAAAACAAAAGTATGTGCAGTTACCTCATACACTGATAAGAATAACCAGCTCCAACTTTTACCACATGAAGAAGCTAATGTCACAATGGATCAATGAAAGAACACCAATCGGCAACCCATCACCTGCTCACTTCCCCTCCCATACAACGGGAAGAAACTGAGCTTTTAATAACATAAATAGCATGCATCCTCTCTTCCTAACTAAGCAATCACGCTCTCATGATTATACTACGCATCATCATGTTCTTGCTTACAAGTCAACCAACATAGCTACCGCTTTTTTTTCAGAGAAAATCATATGAATTGCACAGGGGCAAACAGACACTATTACCAACTGGAATGCTGAACGATTAAAACCAACCAGATCCAATCTTACCAAATATGGCTGTGAAGCTAAAACTTACAGCTCAGATGATAAATCATATTTGATCTTGTTAACACTTATCACACTACATAGTACATATTATAGTCTACAAGTTAATGTTGTGTTCTCCTACAGGCACCACCATAAATTTCAGAAATGAATACAATAAACGCAGCAGCATCCAGGTTATTCGCTCCTTTATGGAAGAAAGATAGACGATCATGACACTGCTACAGGAACAAGAGAATCAATACAGAAGGATAAGATGAGTACAAATTAACCCCGAAAATTTTGCGTTTCTGATTGGCAAGATACATATCTGAGTTTCAGAAATCTTCCTTGTAGTGGCTCCGGGCATAAACCAATAAAATAATGGAAAGGGAAAGCACAGAAAATCTACGGGATCACCTGCTATGCAAATAAGATGAGCGTGGCGAAGGGATTCTATCCCTTCGGCTTCTCCTGCTATGCCTATCCCTTGCAGGAGACCTCGAGTACTTCCTATGACGTGAAGGGGAACGAGATCTTGACCGCGACCTCGATAAGTCCCGAGGCATCTTTAAATGCCACAGCAGTATCTTTCTCTACACGAGCTCGGATTAATGTCTGACCTTCCAGAAACGCACCCGATTTTCTGCGAAGTCCAGATTCAACAACTAAGTAAACATCGACACACTATATCCATAAATTTGCAATTTTTTTTGCTGCAGCTTACGAGAATGACCACTTGCCATCAAAATCTTCAAGATCACAGTAGCATTGTAAATCACAACCAGAATGAGTATTCCCAGAAATCGAGCAACACAAACCTAGCGACAAACTTGAGATTCAGCCATGATTTCAACAGTATTTCAAAGATCTCGTCACAAAGCCAGTCAACTCTAAGACGAAAAAAGAAAATCTCGTTTTCGTGCTTTCACATCTTAGCTCATACACCCAATTTCAGAGAAATTCCACCAATAAAACGTAAAACAAGAAAATTGATAAGAAGCCCGAGGATGGGGGAGAAACCTTGGTTAATGGAAAATCACAAAGAAACCCTAATCAAAACAATCACAATTCCCAGGAAAATCAGCTGAAACCTAGCCACCAGAAATCGCTTACCAAGAATCGGCAACAGTCGTAGGAAGAAGATTCGGAAGGGAGAAAAACTCGTATGATACACTTTTATATATTGACTTTATTGTTTTCCAGATAAAATCGAGCTATTTAATTTAATTTGGTTTATACGACGTCTTAGGGTTAACGCAACGGCGCACACAAACAAGATAATAATAAATATTGTCCTGAAAATAAAAAAACTAATACATTATTTTTTATTTTTGTAACACATTTAATGGCAAATAATTTCGTGTATAATTTACATATATATATATGTAATATACCGATATATGTAAAGAAAACAATTACTAATTGTAGTGTTTGGTAAGTCTGTCATGTCATGCCTTCTAAAAAAAAGCTTAATTTATAATCTTTATTATTATTATTATTAAGTTGAATTGTTGTTGAATTCCACTTAATCACTTTCAAACTAATTACGTTGGAATTGAGGGGCACTTGATGTACAAAATCACAAGTAAAGCATTTTTACCGAAATCCATGGGTTTTTGGTATGTAAGTATGTAACATAGGTTAAGGTAATTTAATCGGGTGGAAGTTCGGTGAATTTTCGAAGTAAAAAAAAAGTAATCAGTAAATTTTAACAGATTTTGAAATTTCTGGATCTCAATCTCAATCTCGCGTGTCCGAATACTACTTAGTTATTTTTCGTTTTCCCAGTTTTTTTTTTATGTCGATTAGGGTTTTTCATAGATCGATTACAATTTAGGGATGCTACTGTGATCGGTGGTTTTTCACGGACGATATCGATTTTTAGGGTTCATACTTGCTTGCTTTTGTGAATATATATATATATATATATATATGTTACAGTGTTACTATGTCTGTGAGCAATTGTAAGGCAATACATTTACTCTCATGATCCATCATTATAGCATCCGAATACAATGAAACTACTACACTTTATTCATCATCATCATCATCATCATCATCATCATCATCATATACACCAGAGAAACCATATTTATACGGCTATATGCGAAACCGATCAAGAAGGATGAACCTTGTTACCGGAAGCAGCCTTCCAAGCAGACCTCATGGACGCAGCGGCGGAGTTCATCGCCGCCGCCATGTACCGCTTTGCCGCCGCCGTTGCAGCCTTCTCCATCAGATTCCCGCCCCGCCGTGCTCTCTCCGCCTTCTCCTCGATCTCCCTCAGCTCCTCCGCCTCCATCCTCTCCATCTCCTCCACCGTCCTCCTGTACTCCTCCATCGCCATCTCCATTTCCCTGAAACCCCCAAATCCGAAATTCTTCACATCGAAACACCGGAAAACGGAAAACGGCGGCGGAATCTTACCGATCGAGGCAATCCTCGGCCTGGCGGAGAGATTCCTCAGCGTCGTCGAGCTCCTGTTGCTGTTCGGCTTCGAGAGCAGCCCAAGCCTTGTAGGACTCGATTTCGAAGAGGCGCATGAGATCTTCGATGGTGGAGGGGTCGAAGGATCTGTCGGTAAGGGCTTGATCGGAGAGGAGTGTGAAATGGGAAATTAGGGCATCCATGGACGAGGACGATGAAGGTGGAAGAGAGAATCGTGTGCTTTCGTTGTGGTGGAGAATTTTGCTGCAAGTGGAAAGATCGGTGACGTTGGGTTGGGGGATAGGATTTGTCAAAGTGGGTCACGCGACAAAACTAATTTATTTATTTTTTTCTTCATTCATTTCATTTTTTTAATCCTTTAGAAACAATTTTTCTTCTAGCGGATTATAGAAAAACAACAACGCACAAATTTTAATAAAAAAAGAGTGAGACAATGATAAACGTTAGAAAAGATTACACGGAGTGGTGAGCTATTACAGAAGGTAATGAAACACGACTAAATTTTATAAATCAGAAAATTAATCTAAAGATAAAACCCCGATAGATATGTTTAAATGTTAATGTGAATGAATGGTGGACACTTTAAGATGATATTTATGATATGGAATGGTTATTAAGAAATCTTGAATCCCCTATAAAAAATAGAATTCTCCGGATTATTATGAACAATAAAACACATGTTATAAAGAGTTTGTATATCTATGATATTCGAACCGAAAGAAGTTGTACAAGAGATTAATAATAATAAAAAAATTGCTAAGTTGAAAGAGATACATTTAAGAAAGTGTTTTGGGAGAGATTCTCGAATATCAGTTTCGTTCATATCCAATGGATAATAACTCTTTAACTAATGCGATTGTGAAATTTGTGTTGAATCGTAAATCTTCTTTTGTATTTTATTCAAACGGTTGTCTAGAGTAGTTTTCTTGTATTGCAGCAAAGGATTATCCTTAACTTATTAATTTAGTCTATTAATTTTTTGTGGAAAAAAAAAAGCAAAAGAAAAAATCACTTTTTTTTAACGTTTAGAAAAACCATTATTTGATGAAATATATTATTTACATTGGATATATATATATATATATATGATGCTAAATGTGTTGGATTTGGGTTTATTTGATAGAATCAAAACGGGCCTAACCTGTGAGAAGCCCGGTCCGTATAAATTTAAATCTGCAGAATATTAAGAGAATATTCTTATTTGAATTTGAAATTCAAATTCAAATTGGATTCAAATCCGCAGAAAATCTATCAAATATGATTGAACATTGAGATAATATCAAAATAAAATCAAATTTGAATTTTGAAATTTAAATTGATTTGTTTTGAGATTCTCCCCTCTACTATAAATAGGGGTCTTGGGTTAGCTCATAAAAAACACAGAAAAGAAACAAGCATTCTAGAGAAAAAGAGCATTCACATATTTGCTCATATCTCTCTCTGAGTTCGCTTGGTATTTGGAAAGCTTCTTCCAAATACGCGGTCGTTGTATCCTGAGAGTTCACCGTGCTCCAATAGCCTTGAAGCTTTAGAGGTGGCACGGAAATCGAACTTAAGGAAACTGTGTTTCACAGGCCTCGACAAAATAATCTTTTAATTTCAAGTACTTATCTGGAATCGCTCGAATTGACGGAGTTTTGCCGTCGTCAACAACCGTCGTCGCTAACAAAATGCACTTATATTAGAATTTAAATTAAAAACATGAAGGTACAAAGATAAAGTAGGTTTTAAAAATCACATATGTAATCTTGAATATATAATATAGAGAGAGATATTCACGAAATATACATTTCACATGTTCCCCTTTCACATATGATTTTAGATATAAACCATTTACAAATAATTTTTATACCATATGTATTAAAATTTTGGATTAATCAACTAATTCGTCATATTACTCGCTTGTGCTGCCCTAGAAAATTATCGCGATCAAGTTTTGAAAATTCAATTTGGATATTTAGAAATTCAAAATCTTTTATCCGTATCTGACAAATTTAAAATTTTGGATATCCATCTTTCAGTTATGAATAATCGGTGGTTATGAGATAAAGACAGAGATAATATTTTTATAAAATCTATGAAAACGAAAATAAAAACGAAAACGGATATGTAGAATGTAGATGGATAGCGAATCACCGTGATATAGAGGGTGTTTTCGGATTTCCAAAACAATATCGGACATTTTCAGAAAGTATCACAATTTTAGGGACCTCATTGTAATTTAACTTTCTTTTCCAGAGGTGTTTCACTAAAAGAATAAAAAAAAAACATTTCAGAATTCCCTCGAAAGAAAGCCCTATCAACGCATTAAGGCTCTCTTGCCCTTCTCCGCCGCTCGCCGAGAAAATTCCACATTTTTTAGGGTTTCACGGCGGAGAATTCCTCCGGTGACGGCATCTTCAAATCTCTCTCGTTTAGAATCAATTTGATTTCTGAAGCATATTCGTCGCCCGAGATTTCATTCAATGGCAACTAGTCAGTTCATTTTTTTCTCTTCACGTATACTGAATATACACGCGCAATTTGGTGTTCTCTGTTTATATACTTACAGGGATATATTTTTGTGTAGCTGATTTGTGTCTGTCTTTTGTATGGAGAATTTGTTTGCGATTGACGATTTGATGGTTTTTTTCTTTTCTATTGGTTTTTGGGTGTGATTTGGCGACAGTGGCTAGGTCGTTCCTACAGGCAATATCGACGGAGGAGTCAGCTCCACCGCTCAGAGTTGTTCAGATCGAGGGACTGGTAATTTCTTTTATGTTTATTGAGCTCAGATTTCTCTGCTTTCCTCGTTTTCTGTCGGAACTTGGATTCTGTCGCAGCCATAAGTTTCGTGTAATTTGCTGGGCAATGATGCGTTTGCTTCCTTTTTTTTGTAATAGAACATATGCCCACGAATAGAGAAGCTCATTTGTGTTAGTGAAACAGGTGTATTAGTGGCATTGTTCATCGTCGTGTTTATGCATGTGTGATAGGTTGTGTTAAAGATAATCAAACACTGCAAAGAATTTGCCCCAACTCTCGTCACTGGACAGCTTCTTGGACTAGATGTTGGAAGCGTCCTCGAAGTTACCAACTGCTTTCCTTTCCCAGTAAGTCGAAAAAACTTTCTTCGCAATTGCAGAAGGCTATATAGCCTGTTGATTGGTGATTATCAGACAGATGGTTTATTGATCTGATAATGTTGAAAAACACAGGTCCGGGATGATGATGAAGAAATTGAAGCCGATGGTGCTAATTATCAGCTTGAAATGATGAGATGCTTAAGGGAGGTCAATGTGGACAACAATACTGTTGGATGGTAGGTTAAAATGTCATTTAAGTCTGATAATTGATGATCTTATAGATTCTTTTTATCGATTGAAGAACGTCTTTTTGTTTACTTTCAGGTACCAATCAACTATTCTTGGTTCTTACCAGACAGTAGAACTTATTGAGACCTTTATGAATTACCAGGTACTTGCTGAGATTCCTGACTAGCATTTCTGTGTTGAAACACATTTTAGATCCCAGTTGTGGTTATTCCATCCTTCAATATTCTTGCTTCTGCCTCCTGTTTGCTATTTTTTTGGTGTAAAAGTTGTATTTTAGCTTGCATGTATCCGATACCTGCATCACACAAAATATTCCTGTGTATGAAAGGTTTACCCTTGGTGTACAAATGAATATCCGTTTCGATGGTAAGAGTTATGTGCAAGTGTGTGCATCGATAATGAGCGAATTACGAGTCTTTTTGTTATTGTGTTTAACAAATCAATCTGCTAAGACTATTTTACCAATCGTGAATTATCTAAAGGGTTGTGTCGCTCTGTTCATAGTTTTCCTATTTCATTGAAAAGCTGAACTTGCACGGTTGGACTGCTAAATGCTTCTGGCACATTTGTCTGTGTTTTCTCTTACAGTTGACAATCTTGTTATGGATCATTTGCAGAACAGGAAATATATATTAACTAATTGTGTCTTCTACTATTACAGGAGAACATTAAGAGGTGTGTGTGCATCATATATGATCCCTCAAAAGCTAACCAAGGTGTTTTAGCTTTGAAGGCTTTGAAGCTTTCCGACTCCTTCATGGAGTTGTACCGTAATGGAAATTTTACGGGCGAGAAGTATGTCATCTCACGAATTCAAAAATGTTTCAAATTCTTAACTATTTGATATAGTAATGTTCTGATCTCTTTTTTTTCAGATTGAGAGAAAAAAATTTCTCATGGATGGATATTTTCGAAGAAATCCCTGTAAGTCTCTCAAGCATTGATTTTTTTGTATGTTGAAACATTATTAGCGTAATCTCTGAAGTGATTGTAGAGATAGGAAGGAGAGAGTAACTTTTAGGTTTTTTTCACTTTCTTCGGCAGATCAAGGTCTCCAACTCTGCTCTCATCAGTGCCTTTATGACTGAACTGGAGACAGATACACCCATTTCACAGGTACCGCATCATTTCTGGAGAGAATCTGTCTGTTTCTATCAATATAAGATATCGGATCGTTGTTCTTCAACATTTTTTTTCGTTTCTAGGGTGATTATGATCGTCTTCGCTCATCAACCACACCCTTCCTCGAGAACAATATGGAGTTTTTGATTAAATGCATGGATGACCTATCAATGGAACAGCAAAAGGTGTAGATTTATTCTGTGTTTGCACTTTTTTAGCGTCAGAAAATGTCATAAAGTCATAATCCGATTTTTGTTTCTGCCAGTTCCAATTCTATTACCGGAACCTCTCCCGTCAGCAAGCACAGCAACAAGCTTGGCTCCAGAAGAGAAGGTATGTTAATGTTTCATAACCTTGAAACCCCATCTTTTAACCCATCTTCTTACGAATCTAAGAGATCGCGATTGGGTTTCTTTTATAAAGGGCGGAGAATATGGCTCGGAAAGCGGCTGGAGAGGAGCCTTTACCTGAGGAGGATCCATCAAACCAGATCTTTAAACCCATTCCCGAACCGTCGAGGCTGGAGAGCTTCCTTATAACAAATCAAGTTTCAAATTTTTGCAGCCAAATCAACGGGTATACGCTCTTTCCTTCTTCTACGCGTCGAGCATTTCCTCATCTTATCCGAATCTTTGAGCTGATGATGTCTGAATCAAATCGAATTTTCGCAGTGTGGCTGGTCAGAATTTCAGCAGGCTCTACCTGACAAAGGCATTGAATGAAGACTGATATACAAAGAGAAGCAAAGCCCGGTAAAAGGAGCATATTATCATCATATTAGTATCGGTATTTTCGCAGTGACTTGTAGTTGATGAACTATTTATGGAGATTTTTGAAGAATGGATGTAAGTTTTGGATCCCCTAATGGCTTACAACATTTTTCTGTCTTGCTTTGGTTCTACCTTGGATTTTGATTTGTTGACATCTCCTTTTGAATTACAAAGATCTCATCATTTGATTGTATTTGATCTTTCTTTTTTTAATTTTAATTAATTTTTTTATTGAAGTTATACAGATACCAATTTCTTTTTTAGCTAAAGATACAAACTAATTTGGTTGAAACACAACTGTCTTTTTTGTTATTATTATTGTTTGGCCCTCTACTAGTAGAAAGTTAATCCAGCACCGGATGTTTTAATTTTCATTTATATTTGAATTCAATTTTATATTTGGATTTAAATTTTAACAATAAAAATTGTTTTCGTTGAGTTATTCGATTTCTTTTTTAATTAAAATAATAATATTTAATTTAATTACCGATGTCTTATTCGGTGTTGTATCCAAAGTCAGACGTTGGGTAAAAATCGTAACGGTGATTTTTAGTGAATTAGACCGTACAGTCAAATGCCCTTGTTGTTGTCAGAGACCTCACCATCTCTCTCTCCCTCTCGCTCATGGAACCGCTTGAAGCGCCTCACTCCGACCACGAAATCGCCGTCTCGGACGGCGAACCTCCGCCTCGTCCCCCGTCTCCGGTGAAAAACGAGCGGAACCATATTGCAACTTCTCGAGATTCCGGCGACAAAATGGCGAGGAAGCTGGGTTTACGTCCGATCTGCTCTCAGGCCCCAAAGCGCTCAAACAAACGCGGAAGGTTTCTACATATTCTTCCTGATCGATTCGATTCGGAATTTCTCGGCATTGTTTATGTAATTCTCATACATAAATTTAGGGCTTTGGTTATTTTCTTTATTCCATTTGCTGGAGTTGATGAACGCTTTTTAAACGTGTGTACCAAATTTTCGAAGTATTCGACATTTGTTTCGATTCAGTGAAGTTTATCTGATCAAATTGTTCATGCTGATGAGAATTAGTTATCAGAATTTGGAGAAATTGAAAGAGATCAGTAAAGAGAATATGAACACAAAACATGTGTGTTTGGGGCTAAATTTATGCTTCGAATTGCATCAATTTTGCTAAATTACTGCGATTTCGAGAAACACCCATGTGATCATACCCATGTCATGATCTGATATATTGAATGATGGATATTGATTTCAATGTTTGGTGAAATTTAGGCCTATTTGCTCGAAGGATGCTATGACGTCTCCGGTGATCGTTGGTCTACTTGCAAGCGATAGAATGGGAGCTGGTTCACTGAGGTAAATGGCAAAAATCGAATTAGGCGAAGTTATTTCTCTGTTGGACACAATTAACTTCATACATTTGTTTAAATCTAAAGTTTTTTGGATTTACGTCGTTGAAGTATGGAAGATTCATCAGGTGATGATGATGATGATGGAAAGCACCAAAGATCTGGTCATCGCGTGGTGCGTTTTCATCTCTTTCGTCATTTTTTCTGATGCCTACGAGATTTAATGGCTAATAAGCTATCGGGTTTCAACATTGGAATGAACTACAGAGGAAGATAAAATGGACGGAGCATCTCATCAAGGTGTTCCTCGAGCTATTTGATCGTGAGTTGGCCGCTTTGAATTACATGCAAAAGGTGCCTCATGCCAATGGCAAGATGCGTATAGTACGTGATTTCAATGCGAGGACCGGGATTGAACTGCCATGGGAGAGCTTCAAGCACAAATACGATAATCTCAGGAGGCTGTATATCGCATGGGAGAAGCTCGCTGGTTACAACGACATATCAATAGATAGTATCACCGGAAAAATAACCATGGATGACCAATGGTGGAACGATCGTGAATCGGTAATATTCTATACCCTTTTTTTCTTTACTCGAAAACTTTTACTTGTTTGGTATTGATGGGTATGGTTTTCAATGTCTGGGCAGGAGGTTCCTTTGTCGAAAACCTTACATCACAATCCCATCCCGCATATGGATCTGATGCATCGTATCTTCAAGAATAGTAGCATCAAGCGCGATAATTCGTCCTCTCCGAACACATCTGCCCTCCACACCGTTGTTGTCACCACTGTTGATCCATGCAAGACCAGTGACCAGACCATTCCTACCGCAACACCAGTTCCGACATGTGAGCCATCCTTGTCTGAGGACCCGACATCAACAGAATCTCCCATCACCCCATCATCATCCATCGCTCCATCGCCTTTGCGATCATACAGGGAGCAACTACGATCCGCTACATTCCCCATTGCCAACCAAAAGGGCACGCGGCATTCTCGGAGGTGCGTATCTCGCAGAAGAACAGCCCTGAATGCCACTGAGTTCAGGATGTACCAAGAACCGATGCTTGTAACGTTCAAGGAAGCGTTCTCCGCCCTGAACAAGCTAGGCATTGCGAAATTCACGGATTTTTGGTGGGCGTCGGTGCGAGTACTGAAGGATGATATGGAATGGCGGGAATCGTTCCTGGAATTGTCGAGTGATGGAGAAAAGATTGCGTTTCTGGAGGGACTAACGGGATACGATCGGAACAATAACTACGTTGGGTTAAAAGGGTTGCAAGCTTTTGCAGGTACTTGTTCTAATTTTGTGAATGATAGAGGAAACTAATTTAGTGTGTGCTTTTTTGTCTTTGGAATCAAATGAAATTATTTTCGATACTCTGCGATTCTTAGTTTGGATCGGTTATCCGAGTTTTTATATATCTTATCTCGGTTTCATAAGGATTTGATATTCGAACTTCGAATATTCACTGATAAGATGAGGGTTCTGGTACTCGGCCGATGAGACAGGGAACTCTGAACCTGTGAATATGCTTTAAATCCATATCTTAAACTTTGTTGTATAGTTTATTTTTCCTGTATTCGCTACATTCTTTGTGTATGTCCAAACTCTCGTATAAGTGTTTTAGGGTTACAAGTTTATAATGTGAAAAGATGTAACCTTTCAAGTGATAAACATTACATAGTTCATAAGGATTTCACCGTTGCAGAACAACGAACACAACACAGCAGATGACATTTACGCAGAGGCGGCTTTCCAAGAAGACAGTGGCGGAGTATCGGAATTCTTGTAGGTAGGCGCACTCGGGTGGTACCTCTCCCCTTTCACGAGCTCGGGTCGGCAAAGGGCCTCGAGCTCGGCCATCTCTTCCGGAGTGAGTTTCACCGACAGGGCTCCGATGTTCTGATCGAGGTTCTCGATCTTGGTGGTCCCCGGAATAGGGCACACGTCGTCTCCCCGGTGATGAACCCACGCGAGTGCTAGTTGCCCGGGAGTGCACTGTTTCTTTTCTGCCATTGCAGCCATCTTCTCGTAGATAACCTTGTTGCCGGGTAAGTTTTCGTCTTGGAATCTTGGTAGATCCTGGTTTAGGGGTTTAGAGACAGCTCAGACAGGGCAACAAAAACACACAGAGAGATGATGATGATTGATAATTGGATCACATATCTTAATATGTGAAAAAGATATAGTTCACTTGAGTTCACAGGTAAAGATGGTCACTTTGGTTAATAACCGAATCTATTCAAATCGAATAATACATAACCGAAACCAAAATATAAAAACTGAATGGTTATCGTTTCCTTAAAACTGGAAAAACCAAAAATTTCTTAAAAAAATAAGTATTTTTATCAATAAAATTGAAACATAGCCGAATCCAATACGAATGGTTATCATTTCCCTAAAACTGAAAACCCAAAGTTTTCTTTAACTATAAATACAATATAAAAACCGGATAATTATAATTCTTCTAGAACCGAAATAACCAAACCCGGCTCGAACTGAACCCCGAAAAAGCCACTCCTACTGTTAATCGCAGCCACATAAGCATTGGCGAGGAACAGCTCTAAGACAATCTTAGTGATTGAACCAACCATAAAAACAATTACAGATTCAGGTAAGGTAACTTGCCTTTCTAAAGTCACCTTGCCCTAATGTCTCAAGAAACTTGGGTCCTGACGCAAAGAAGCCTCGACCCAGAGGACTGTAAGCAACAAGTCCGATCCCGAGCTCCCTGGCGAAGTATACATAAAAACAATATGAGATGGCTAAAGGCTTCATTCACATATGAGTACGAGAAACCATGTTTACCGCCACCACCTGCAGGTAGGAATGACATCTTCTTCCACGTCTCGTGACCACAATGACCATTCCAACTGGACAGCTGTTATAGGATGGATAGAATGCGCCCTTCTGATCGTCGAGGCTGAAGCTTCAGATAACCCGACGTACTTTATCTTACCCTCCTCAACCAGTTTCTTGAGCTCACCCATCTTGTAAAAGACCGACATTGAAACCGTCAACCTCAGTTCGAGCCAAAATCGAAAACAAAACAGCACAAAGCAAACAACTTGATATGAATCGAGGTTGTTTTCTTCAAGTACCGACATATATGATGCCCTAAGAGGCCGTTTCACTGCCTCAGACAACCTTATTACCACTAAACTCGGCAAGCGCGATAATTCGTCCTCTCCGAACACATCTGCCCTCCACACCGTTGTTGTCACCACTGTTGATCCATGCAAGACCAGTGACCAGACCATTCCTACCGCAACACCAGTTCCGACATGTGAGCCATCCTTGTCTGAGGACCCGACATCAACAGAATCTCCCATCACCCCATCATCATCCATCGCTCCATCGCCTTTGCGATCATACAGGGAGCAACTACGATCCGCTACATTCCCCATTGCCAACCAAAAGGGCACGCGGCATTCTCGGAGGTGCGTATCTCGCAGAAGAACAGCCCTGAATGCCACTGAGTTCAGGATGTACCAAGAACCGATGCTTGTAACGTTCAAGGAAGCGTTCTCCGCCCTGAACAAGCTAGGCATTGCGAAATTCACGGATTTTTGGTGGGCGTCGGTGCGAGTACTGAAGGATGATATGGAATGGCGGGAATCGTTCCTGGAATTGTCGAGTGATGGAGAAAAGATTGCGTTTCTGGAGGGACTAACGGGATACGATCGGAACAATAACTACGTTGGGTTAAAAGGGTTGCAAGCTTTTGCAGGTACTTGTTCTAATTTTGTGAATGATAGAGGAAACTATGATTTCGATGGGGACTCGGGTATCGATCCTATGCTGGTAATAGAGATCAATGCAGTTAACACCGAGCCGTGTCAAGCTTGCTTCACAAGCAAACCTAACGTACTCGGGATCTCCCCTTATCTCTCCGACTATCTCCTTCTTCCCTTCTACATAAGTGGCTGCGAATTTGGTCGCCAGTTCCACCTTCTCCCTGAACCCATTCTTCAGAGCCTGACACATTTCAACGACAAGACAATCAAGAACATCATTAGCCCTAAAATGACATTTGGGAACAGTGACAAGGCCATTTGCCTGCTCTATCTCCATATTCATGAACCAAATCAATACAACTGTCTTCAACAATTTCTCGAAAATCAACGACCTAAACAATCGCAGATCTCGGAATTCGAATCGAACCTTGCCGAGGAGAATCTCGTTTGTCTCGGGACCGTAGATGTCGGAGGTGTCGAGGAAGGTGATGCCGGAGTTAATGGCGTGGTGGAGGAGAGCGATGGCTTCGGATTCAGGCTTCGGAGGACCGTAGAAGGCGGAGAGGCCCATGCAACCAAGGCCTTGCGCAGAGACCTCGAGGCCTTGGCTTCCGAGCTTGATCCTTCGTACTCCGTTCGTTGCCATCGATTCTCTCTCTCGGAGCTTGTTCCTCTCGTTTTGTGATCTGTGAAGGCTCCAGAGAAGAGGGCTTTACTTCGAATGTCATTTATAGAAGAAATTTCCACGGTTGAGGGAGAGATAGAAAGAGAGAAATGGTGGGGGAAGGAAGGATAGAGAGGAGAGAGCAATTCGACGCCATTGCTGACGTAGTGAGCCTATAAATAATGGAATATTCAAACGTCAAAGGCCAAAGCGAAAATTAAATCTATCCTATAAGTCTCGAATAAAAAGAATGCCAAAAAATAGGATTAGCACATTATTTAACGCCGTGTATAATCAATCAATGTTGGTCAAAATTTATTGTGACAGTTTTTATAGCAAGTCTAGGTATTCCATTGACATATTTTTCAAGTTTAGTAATTTTTATGGAAGCATGCAAGTTTAAGAATTAATTTTCCAGTGTGAGACAAGTTCAGTAATTTTTATGGGATTAACCCCAAAAAATGTGACAATTTTCTAAAATTATAAAACCCCATTGCAAAAATACCCTAATTGAAGCCCAATAAATTCATACTTTTTTAGGTAAGTTAAAATTTGGTATTTTTGTAGATTTTTCTATTAAAAATTGGCTCAAAGTCGATTCATTTATGAAGCATATAGCAAATTAGGGGTTCACAGTTTATTTTCGAATCCTGTTTCTCCTTTGTTTATATAAAATTATATTCATTCCCTTGTTTACGTTAGTTTTCCATGGATTCTATTGATTTTGATTGAAAATATTATTAATTTTTTTTTTTACCGTTTTATTATTTCAATATTTGATCCGATTTAACTTTTTGTCCAATTAATTTAATTTTGAAAAGTTATATTCAATTACTATATACTATTTGATTTGATTTGATTCTGTTAAACAGAGCTTAAATGCGCGCAAGCATATATAATAATTAGTGTATTTTAAGGATAATCTATTATTTACGGATATCTAAGAAAATCTTCTTCCATCGGGGTTTGTTAACATTGGGCCTATATAGAATAAGCCCATTTAATGTCCAAAACAAAGAAAAGCCCAAATGAATAGAATCCATTTTTCATCGACGATTCATATAATCGGATAATCAGTCTCACGCGCAACGTGAGCGCGTGTAGCGCGTGACGTGAAATCCTCTGGGTTATAGTCCACCGAATCTTCATGGTTTTGGAGAAATCCCTCCTTCGGATTTACCGAGGCGCGTGAAGATTAAAAAGTCTTACCCTTTTTTTTTCTCTTTTTTTTTTAATGTAATTTCGCCGTCATCTAACATTTAAAAATTATCAGCTGACAACAAAACAATACATTTTCAAAATTATTTTCCAATTATTTTTTGGGTTTTAAAATTCACTTTCCCGATTAGTAATTAACAATGTAGAAAACATTATTTTTTATATATCATTGATTATCCTACATTTTGTTCTTAATTATTTATTCGAGCGTTTTATACATACATATACATATATACACACATATATATATCATATAAATAATAATTTATTAAAATTATCAAAATTTACTGTTTTTGAAAATTTGGTATATTTATGTGTATTTTTAAAGTTCATATATATATACACACACAATATGATATACGGGACTGTTTCATAATATTTTAGCTATCTTGTTTTTTTTTTGTTATGAATGTTGTATCAAGGGGAGCATGAACTTGTTAGGGCTTTGGTTGGACCGTTGCTAGTGTTTTGGAAAATTTCAAAATATTTGCAATTAGAAGCCGGGGCCTTGTTGGTTGTTATATTTTTATTTTGTTCGCTTATTATCAAAATTTTAAAATATAGGTTCCCGTTATAAAAAAACTATTTTTTAAAAAAATTTGAAACTCAGCCCTACACATCCTCTCTCTCTCTCTCTCTTTCTCTCTCTCTCTCTCTCTCTCATACGCTCAGATTCCTCAGTGAACTGAACAGATCTGCTTCTCATTTTCATACGAAATTCATACAGTAAGAACTCCTCGTCTCAAATTCTGTAGCTTTAATCGTTTCCAAACGGCTTATGTCTCGCGTTACTTCACCAGTATTGATGAATTCTGTCGTTCATTGTCGCTATGAAGCTGAATCTCACTTCACCCAAAAGGAGCTAAAATTCCATTGATTTCTTTCTCTTCTGTCAAATCTGTCTTATAATCTCATGTCTTAGCTATCTAATCTGTGTGGTTTTTCTGGGTTTTGTCGGATGTATGTCGATCTGAGATAATCTGAATCGGGGAGAGTAGGAGCAATTTTTGGCTCTAGATATGTGAAAAAAAATTGTAAATTTCTATCGAGTTTAGCTGTTGAATGTTCGTCTTTGAAAACCCAGATAGCCTGTTGTCTTTGCAGTGAATTAAACAATCTTGGGTTTGCAATTCTGTGAGGCTGAAAGGCTAAACTTGTAGCAGACATGTTCGTTTTCTTATTCAAATTGATTTCTAAGATCAACACTTTGCGTATTAAGAATCGTTTCGCATTCATGGCGGATATGAGGCTGTGTTTGGGGAGAGTTTTGTTTCTGACTGCAACCTGTTCGATGATTTGTCTCAGTTAAATGGACTACCTTCCCGATGCCCTCCTCCAATACACTCTTTAGAACCGATGCTTGTAACGTTCAAGGAAGCGTTCTCCGCCCTGAACAAGCTAGGCATTGCGAAATTCACGGATTTTTGGTGGGCGTCGGTGCGAGTACTGAAGGATGATATGGAATGGCGGGGGAAG